AAGGCTGCCTTCGTGCTTGGCAAGGCCAAGGCCGTCCATACTCTCAGCTCAGACCTTCTTGCCGAGCACATCAGCCTGGCCCGGCCCCACAGCTTGGTGCTGACCACTGAACCGCCTGCCTCGGCATCTGCAGCTACTGGACCCGGGAGGTCCTGGGACGACTTGGGGGCCAGGAGGGGACCCATAAGGGGGACGCCGGGCCAGGAGCCCATCCTACTCTTCCCTCAGGGCTCCCACACCTGAGATCACCCACCTGGGTCCATGAAGCCAGAGCAGTTGGGGTGAGGCGGATGGATGGAGGGATGCAGACCCCGCGAACGGCCTGCAGAGAAGCGGTGTCTAGAGCCCCGTGGCCCAATATGGCAGCCACCGGCCATGTGGCCACACGGATTTGAATTAATTTAAATAAAATTAAGAATGCATGCCTTGGCTGCATGAGCCAAGGTGCCCAGGAGGCGGGTGGCTGTTTACAGACAGATGGTGGGCACGGAGCGTCTTTATTCCTGCAGACAGTCCTGGCGCTGGTCTGGAGACCTCATGCATCCCTTGGGTTGAAACGCCTTTGGGCCCCAGTTTCTCCTGCATCAGGAGCGTCCCCGAGGCTTCAGTTGCTCTTATGCCCAAGAGCCGGGGGCCAGGGGGTCGATGAGTGTTTCCATTTTGCTTCCACTCGCTTTCTGGACTGTTCTCGGTGGGGAGGGCGTGGAAAAGCGTTTTGATCCCAGAGAGCTGTGGGGTCAGGCCCTCCGGGGGCAGAGATGTGGCCGCTCCCTGGGTGGGCAGCACCAAGGGGATGGGAAAGTCTCAGAAACAGCTGCCCCTGCTTCCTCACCTGCCAAGGCCAAGGTGAGTCCCTGGGTGAAGGAGGGGTAGTCGGGAATCTTCCCATCTCCCTGGGCCGATCTGCTTCTCTGAGCAGGAGCCTGGGGCCCCTTCTCCCTTCATCACCCGCTGGGTCACGGTCAACAGCAAGTGCCAGGCACGTGATCACCCCCCCCGCCCCCCCCAGAGCTGACCGTGGAGCATCCACGTGGAGCATTCCCAGCCCTGGAACCTCCACAGTCATGGCAGAGCTGCCCAAAGGGACTGGAGCCTTGGAACCCCCAGGGTCGTCCTCTTGACCCTGAAGGACTTGGGTTAAAGTTCAATCTGGAGTTTTAACTGGGCTTGTACTGAAGAGAAATGACATCTCTGTAACACTGACTTTCCCAATTCATGAACATGACGTATTTCTTCATTTACTAAGCTTTCTTTAACTCCTCTGTGTGAAATTTCACAGACCTTCTGTAAAGATCTTAGAGGTTTTTGGTTAGATTTATTCTGAGGCATTGGATATACATATATATATATATATATATATATATATATATATATATAGCTGATTCTTTTTGTTATACAGCAGAAACTAACACAACCTTGCCAAGCAATTATACTCCAATAAAGATGCTATGTGGAGCACAGGCTCCGGACGCGCAGGTTCAGCGGCCATGGCTCACGGGCTCAGCCGCTCTGCGGCATGTGGGATCTTCCCGGACCGGGGCACGAACCCCTGTCCCCTGCATTGGCAGGCAGACTCTCAACCACTGCGCCACCAGGGAGCCCAGTCTTTGGATATTTTTCAGTGCTTATCATAAAGTGTATCTTAAAAGTTTCTCCCTGTTTTTGCTGATAAATTTCTGTTCATGATAGGAGGACAGTCCAGCTATTTAGTTAACTTCCGACGATTCTATGCGAAACCTTTTCATGCTGACCAGCTTGGTCCTGCACAGTCTCGTGGGGCCCAGGGGCCATCGGAAATGTCCAGGGCAGTCCTCCGCTCGGGGGGAAATTCCCTCTGGCCATTAGGTGTCCAAGACACTCCTGTCACCTGCCCCATTCTTCAGACAGAATGTGAATTTTAGGAGCAGAGCAGGGATTTACTTGAGTCCATTTATTTTCCATAAGGTGGCGAGCAGAACAGATGGAAATGAAGACCGAGGACATCAATTACCACGAGGACAATGAAAGAACGAGGCCAAACTACAAACCGACTGACCGACCAGCCAACCAACCACAGAGACCAAGGGACAGAGTAGGAAGCCCAGCAGGCCAACCTCAGACACCTGATGTTAGGACTGATGGCAATTCCCGTGTTCTTACTGCCTAACTGTCCTTCCTTAGCTGACGCTCGCAGGTGCAAACTCACTTGTGGCACAAACACACGATCACATTAGGAGCACCGGTTCTAGGGCCAGATCCAGCTAGATATTTCCACCAGGGCTTCAAGTACTTTCTTTCTTTAAAAATTTATTTATCTATTTTTGGCTGTGTTGAGTCTTCATTGCTGCACACGGGCTTTTCTCTAGTTGCGGCGAGCGGGGGCTACTCTTCGTTGCGGTGCGCGGGCTTCTCATCACGGTGGTTTCTCTTGTTGTGGAGCACGGGCTCTAGGCGCATGGGCTTCAGTAGTTGCGGCACATGGGCTCAGTAGTTGTGGCTCGCGGGCTCCAGAGCACAGGCTCAGTAGTTGTGGTGCACGGGCTTAGGTGCTCTGCAGCACGTGGGGTCTTCCTGGACTGGGGCTCGAACCCGTGTCCCCTGCATTGGCAGGCGGATTCTTAACCACTGCGCCACCAGGCAAGTCCCCTCAAGTACTTCCTGGTTTGGAAACTTGGGGGATGCTTTTCTTGGAGTCCACACTCCTTAACGAGAATCCGGGGACCCCATCCTCCTCCCAGCTGCACAGGCTGGTTTGGCTGCCCAGGCCAGGGGCCCTTCCCCCTCTGCCGCCAGAAGCCCCTGCAGGGTATTCCCAGAAAAGGTCCGTTTCCCTTTTGCTTTATACCACAGACAGACCCTGGCACGCGTGAAGTGCAGGTGGCCCCAGGACGGCTCTCTTACTGCTTTGGAAAAGTTTCTCTTATTTCACCCTATCTTCTCACAACAGAAAACTAGAGATGGAGGAAGTTGGGTGCTTTATGGTTCAGAGCACCCTACTGGGCTGCTTCCCGGGAAACGGGCTTTTGCTCCTGGGTGTGCAGGATTCGGGGAGAGTGTTTTCCAGGCAGAGGCCCCTGCAGGGGTCACTGCCAGGTGCTCCTTAGGGCAGGTTTGCCCAGTGCATCTCCTGAGCTCAGGAGCCTGACTCAGGAAGTCCCCTGCAGGGCCCTGCAGCCGGCATCAGGGATCATCTGAAACACGTCTGAGTCAACGTGGAATGACTCAAGGTTTTGAAATATTTAAACTGTATGTCTCACAAAACTGGGGGAAAATGATGCCGGTTTCCCTCCTGGAGGCTGTCGTCTGAGCCGGAAGCTCAGCCCTAGCGCGGCCCGGCCTCCCCGCCTCCCCAGGGCACGCTGCTGCGGGCTGTGAGCCCACTGGCTCCCGGGCAGCATGGCTGGGAATAGGACCCCAGGGGACCCCACAGAAGGTGGCCAGGGACATTCCATGGTCTCCTCTGCCCCTAAATGGGACAGGGCTTGGAAGGGAAAGTGAGACAGAGTTTATTTGCTGCTCTGGAGGAGACAGGAAAACACCATTGTTATCACCAAATGGCATTCATTAGGGGTCTTATTCTCTGAAAATCAGCCAGGTTCCCAGGCCTTCTCAGTGAGAGAGGAACATGCAGCACGGTAAGAATACGTCTGTCTTGTCTTTGAAGCCCCTCAAAGGTGGTTTCCCTCTTTCTGGAAAGTTCCCAGCAGAACACCTGGTGTGGGAAGATGCTTGCTAACAGCTCCGTGTGGCGGAAATTACATCGACTACAAAGTCAGACACACTGGCTTCTATTCCCAGTTCTGCCGCTTAATAATGGTGTAATTAATACGATACTTAATTGCTCTGAGCTTCACTCCCCTCTTCCCTAAGACGTGGAGCTAATACCTATCTTGGAGAGGCGCCTTGAGGATTCCATGCGACGAGGTGTGTGTAGCACTGCAGGTTACTGAGAATGGTTGGTGGAATGTTAATTCAGAGAAGACGACGCAGATCCTGGCGCTGAATAGGGATCTGACAGCCAAAGGGGCACCACCCCTCCTGGCCCGGCTAGTCCTGAGGCAGGTGAACATCTGAATGGAAATGGAATACAGGGCCAGGGATTCCTGCTTTTCACCCCCCGTTGACCTGTGTTGCATCTGGAGGAACCAGTAACAGCGGGGAAGAGAAGGTGTGGAAAGCTGCCCTGCACGATCCTCTTAGAAACGATGCGTTCCTCCTCATCGCCCCCAAAGCTGTGCCGCAGCCGGGAGCCTCCAAGCCACTGGGATACCCGCTCCGGGGCAGCCGCCCCCTGTGAAGCCCAGGTCAGTGGATGCCGGCGATGCTGACCTGTCTACAGGGCCAGAGATGGAAGGCCTGCTTGAACCGGGTCACCCTCTGTCCTTGAGGCCCAGGGGCAGGTCGGTTGGGGAGGGCACAGATAATCCAAGTGACAGGGAGCCAACCTGCCCTGCCCTGCCTCACTCAGCCAATGGCTCTAATCTTCTCTCCCAGCCTTTTTTCTAGAAGCTGCTTACAAGTAGAAAAGCAGAGACATTTGCAGGTCCGTCCCGTACTGGAAGGTACAGGGGGCAGTGATGCAGCCCTGAGGTGGGGAAACAGATACCCAGCCCTGAGCAAACGCAGCTCTTACAGCCAGGCTCTTAGTCTGCGCGGCCGGCGAAACGGGGAGAGAACAGAGCCCGGGTGGGTCTGGGGGGCTGGGCCTCGAGAGGTTTGGTTTCCAGTCTCTTCTAGATGACGTGCCGGGGGCCGGGGCCACGGTGGGGGGACAAGGACCATTCTGCCTACCCTGCAAGGAGGTTTGCTCAGGCATGTCCCTGTTCCCTGTGTCCAGACCACGGCCCGGCCCGCGGGCTGAGATTCTGCTTTGAGGAGCTGGCCTGGCTCAAGGCCTGCAGGCTCCGGAGCTGGCACGTTTATCGTTGGGAGGGAACGGTCCTTCGCTGAGACTCTGCACCCACTGTCCCCCACCCTGTGCCCCCGGCACTGTGGACCAGAGGCCCGTCTCAGAGGCCTACCTTGGGCTTGAAGGCGATGAGCTTCAGAATCATCTCCACCGTGAAGAGGCCAGTGAAGAGCATGTTCAGGATGTTCATGGCGATTTTGAACAGGCAGCTCTGGCCGTAGTGCTGCGGGGGCGGGGGGCCGTGAATGAGCCGGGGCTCCCTGCTCCAGGCCGCCCCTCAACGCAGACCTTCCTGCACGCAGCCTGGGGGGCCGACCACCCCCGCGGGGCCCCGCAGGTCCCTCCCGTCTCTGCCGGCACTGCCAGCGCAGCTGCGCAGAGGCTCGTGCTCCTGCCCTGATGGGGACACAGCCCTGCCGGCCCCCTGGTCCTTGGGGGGCTCTACCCAGCTCGGCCCACCGACGGTCACGGCCCCTTCCGGGTCCCCTGTGCTCCACTTCCCTCCCTCCGTCTCATCGGCCCAGGATCCTGGGATCCCCCACCCTCGACAAGGGACACCTGTGCTTCTCCAGCTGC